TCAGCTATAAGAAAAAAACAGATCCTACCATTTGCAACAACATGAATGGAGCTAGAGGGTATTATGCTCAGTGAAATAAGCCAGGAGGAGAAAGACAAGTACCAAATGATTTCACTCATATGTGGAGTATAAGAACAAAAGAAAACTGAAGGAACAAAACAGCAGCAGACTCACAGAACCCAAGAATGGACTAACAGTTACCAAAGGGAAAGGGACTGGGAAGGACAGGTGGGAAGGGAGGGATAAGGGCGGGAAAAAGTAAGGTGCCATTACGATTAACATGTATAGTGGGGGTGGGGGCACGGGGAGGGCTGTGCAACACAGAGAAGACAAGTAGTGATTTTACAGCATCTTACTATGTTGATGGCAGTGACTGTGAACGGGTATGTGTGGGGGACTTGGTGAAGGGGGCAACCTAGTAAACATAATGTGTCCTTCATGTCATTGTAGATTAATGATACCAAAATAAAATTAATAAAAAAAAAATGGCCAACCTGCCCAAAGCAATGTACAGATTCGATGCAGTCCCTATCAAATTACCAACAGCATTCTTCAATGAACCGGAACAAATGGTTCAATAATTCATATGGAAACACCAAAGACCCTAAATAGCCAAACCAATCCTGAGAAGGAAGAATAAAGTGGGGGGGATCTTGGTCCCCAACTTCAAGCTCTCCTAAAAAGCCACAGTAATCAAGACAGTTTGGTACTGGCACAAGAATAGAGCCACAGACCAGTGGAACAGTATAGAGACTCCAAACATTAACCCAAACATATGTGGTCAACTAATATACGATAATGGAGCCATGGACAGTCTCTTAAACAGATGGTGCTGGCAAAACTCAACAGCTACATGTCAGAGAATGAAACTGGATCACTGTCTAACCCCATACACAAAAGTAAATACAATAATGGATTAAAGACCTGAATGTAAGTCATGAAACCATAAAACTCCTAGAAAAAAACACAGGCAAAAATCTCGGACATAAACATGAGCGACTTCTTCATGAACATATCTCCCCGGGAAGGAAAATGAAAGCAAAAATGAACATGTGGGATTATATCAAGCTGAAAAGCTTCTGTACAGCAAAGGACACCATCAATAGAACAAAAAGACATCCTACAGTGTGGGAGAATATATTCATAAATGACAGATACGATAAATGGTTGACATCCAAAATATATAAAGAGCTCACGGACCTCAACAAATAAAAAGCAAATAATCCAATTAGAAAATGGGCAGAGGAGCTGAACAGACACTTCTCCAAAGAAGAAATTCAGATGGCCAACAGGCACATGAAAAGATGCTCCACATCGCTTGTCATCAGAGAAATGCAAATTAAAAATTAAAACCACAATGAGATATCACCTCACACCAATAAGGATCGCCACCATCTAAAAGACAAACAACAAATGTTGGCGAGGTTGTGGAGAAAGGGGAACCCTCCTACAATGCTGGTGGGAATGTAAATTAGCTCAACCATTGTGGAAAGCCGTATGGAGGTTCCTCAAAAAGTTCAAAATAGAAATACCATTTGACCCAGGAATCCCACTTCTAGGAATTGACCCTAAGAATGCAGCAGCCCAGTTTGAAAAAGACAGATGCACCCCTATGTTTATCACATCACTATTTACAATAGCCAAGAAATGGAAGCAACCTAAGTGTCCATCAGTAGATGAATGGATGAAGAAGATGTGGTACATATACACAATGGACTATTACTCAGCCATAAGAAGTGGAAAAATCCAACCATTTGCAGCAACATGGATGGAGCTAGAGAGTATTATGCTCAGTGAAATAAGCCAGGCAGAGAAAGACAAGTACCAAATGATTTCACTCATATGTGGAGTATAAGAACAAAAGAAAACTGAAGGAACAAAACAGCAGCAGACTCACAGAACCCAAGAATGGACTAACAGTTACCAAAGGGAAAGGGACTGGGGAGGATTGGTGGGAAGGGAGGGATAAGGGAGGGGGGAAAAGGGGGCCTTACGATTAGCATGTATAATATGGGGGGGTACATAAGGAGGGATGTGTAACACAGAGAAGACTACTAGTGATTCTACAGCATCTTACTACGCTGATGGGCAGTGACTGTAATGGGGTTTGTTGGGGGGAGTTGGTGAAGGGGGGAGTCTAGTAAACATAATGTTCTTCATGTAATTGTAGATTAATGATAACAAAATGAATTAAAAAATAAAAAAATAAAAAAAAAAGAAACATACAAAACAAAAAACAATACAAAACAAAAAAGACAAAGTTGGCCCATTTAGTGGGTGCACTTTTTCCGGAGAACTGCGGTGGGAAGACGATATTCTCGGCTTTTCCAAGTGTTGGCTGGGCGCTCCCAGGAGAATGCTTAGCGGCCTCCTCCAAGCCTCCGCAGGGGAAGGATAGCCAAGCTGGACTGCCCTTCGCCTCCCCGGGAATGGGGCAGGGCAGATCGGCTGGAGGCGGCTGCGGGCAGTGCGGTCGCTGTAACCCCGCCTTTAGCACCCTGCAGGGGTGGAGCCTGAGCGTAGAGCCCGTGAGCGGCCCTCGCTCCCCGGATGACGAGGAGCCGAATAACATGGAGTCGGGCAAGATGGCGCCTCCCAAGAACGCTCCGAGAGATGCCCTGGTAAGTGCGAAGGATGAGAGGGGGCACATGAAGCTCAGGGCGGCCGGCGACCCGGGAGTCAGACCCAGGCGGAGGGGCCTGCAGAGGGGCTCACGTGCCGTCTTCAGCCCAGCCATAGTGGGCAGGACTGGGAGATGGGGGTGCCCTGGCCCCCAGGGCGCTCTCCCGCTGGCTCCGCAGCCCTATCGGACGAAGGCTAGCGGCCCGCGGGAATGCCAATCCAGCCGCCCTGCTTGGTCTCCTGGGCCCCGGGTCCGGCCGCCTTACCAACTCATCTCGCCGCGTCTGCGAGCCCCCTCGTGCCCAGGGTCCTGATGCAGGCTTCTCCCCATCGCTGCATCCGAAAATGACAACCAGCTGTAGCCAACCCTACCTCTGATGGGAAAGCCAACCCGGACCGTTTTCTTCTCCCTTTGCCCCCGCCCCCACCAAAAAAAATCTAAAGTTTTAAGCAGAGAGGGTACGACTGTATTTGGTGTGATCCTGGCAGTCACTAACTTTGCAGGAAAAGAACGAGTACAACTTTGGAACCCAGAAAAGCAGCAACTTGTATCATAAATACTGCCTTCAGTCCAGTCATGATTTCCAATACCTAGTTTATGCATCTGGCATTTTTATTTGAATCCACAGGTGATGGCACAGATCCTGAAGGATATGGGAATTACAGAGTACGAACCAAGGGTTATAAATCAAATGCTGGAATTTGCTTTCCGTAAGTTAACAGAACACTAAGTATTTGCCTGACTTGTGAATTTGAAGAGGTCATTTTACTGTAAAAACGTTTTTCCAACTAAATTCCCCTAGCGGTTAACATCATAGAGTTCAGCCTAACGCAGTAACAGGGAGCTCAAGCTAGGGGCAATAGTATTTATACTAGGATATCTGTTTAAAATTGATTATATAGATAGGTCAATTAGACATTAGAACCAAAATTCATAACCTCTCTAGAAATCAGAACCTTCCATTAAGAAAACTAGCCATAAATATTAAGCTATTTTCATGTTTAAGAAAATAATGTTTTGTTCTTAAAGGATATGTGACTACAATTCTGGATGATGCAAAAATGTATTCAAGCCATGCTAAGAAAGCTAATGTTGATGCAGATGACGTGAGACTGGCAATCCAGTATCGTGCTGACCAGTCTTTTACCTCTCCTCCCCCAAGAGATGTGAGCAAATTTATTTGAAGTTCATTTACACTTTTTTTTAAGTTGTAGTTCTAATAAGGATTTTTTTTTTTTAGTTTTTACTGGATATTGCAAGGCAAAAAAATCAAACCCCCTTACCACTGATTAAGCCATATGCAGGACCCAGACTGCCACCTGACAGATACTGCTTAACAGCTCCAAACTATAGGCTGAAGTCCTTAATTAAAAAGGTGAGAATTAGCATCTTACTATGCTGATGGACAGTGACTGTAATGGGGTATGTGGTGGGGACTTGATGATGGGGGGAGTGTAGTAACCATAATGTTGCTCATGTAATTGTAGATTAATGAACCAAATAAATAAATAAATAAATGAAGTGAGAATTTTTAGTCAACTTAGGTTTTAAAAAGGTAAGATATGTTAGGAGAATTTTAAGAAAAAGGCAAATTCCTGTACCTACTACAGTAGATTTAAGGCTAAAGTAATTAGGATTTTTTTAATTTACTGCCTTGAAAATACCATGTTTACAATTATCTGCTATGTTGAAATACAAAATATTAGATCCAGGATTTTTAGCACTGAAAGGAACTTTCGTGTTCATCTAATCCAACACTTTTCACATTAGGAAACTGAGCCTGAACTCATCTATGGAGTCAGCTAAGCAAAGCTAGGACTGATTCCCAGGTCTCAGACCTTCCAGTCTTTCCACTGTATCATAGGTTTTTTAGTGAAGCCTGATGACAGAGTAATACCACTGGGAATTGGACTAGCTTTCTGAAATAGTACGCAAGCCTCTACCCCCACTGAAAAAGTTCTCCACACATTGTGCTGCCTTTGTTGTCTGAAATTCCACTCTAAGAAAGTTTCATTTTGGGTTAAGATATTGACTAAGATTAAAAGTCATAAGGAAGTTAGCTGTTATCCCCAAATGAGACTCTGTCTTAAATATTATACAGAATTATACATACTTACACAAACACAGATGTACATATATTCATATCCGTGTTTATATAGGTATGCATTTGTAATATATATTATACATATATAATATATATATATATATATATATATACCTTATATTTTGTTTAAATATTGGATTTGGAACACTGATGGAACAAAGATAGGATGTTCTTCCTGTGGATTATCCATTAATAACTCACATCAACAATCCCAATCACTCCTGATAAGTATAGCTGTCAAATCTAAACATTAAAGTTATTTGTTTTTTAAATCCCCTAGGGACCTAACCAAGGAAGACTAGTTCCACGGTTAAGTGTTGGTGCTGTTAGTAGCAGACCTACCACTCCTACTATAGGTGAGTGAGAGAGGCTTTTGTGGCTAGCAAACAAGTGCCTCAGCACTTACTTTTCAACTATAATCTGAGTCAAAAGGTGAGTTAGAAATTCCCATGTGTTGCCATGAATAACGTTTACTCATCTATATAGTTTATCAGATTTCAAAATGAGAAAGCCACAAGGAATATCTGATCCCAAATGAGTATCGAATTGGACATTACCCCATTTTGTTGTTGGTATGAACGAGCAGACCAAAAATAGGAGTTTAAGTTGGGTGTTACCAAACACACTGATAGCAGCAGCCTACTTATTCTGAGAAATTAAAGAAAATTTGAGTAAAGTGGCAAAAGAATAGAAGAAAAAAGTGTAAAATGTACAAAAAGCTTAAGGATATCACAGAAGAAATCAATTCCGTTTTTAATACTAACGTTTTCAAAAGTAGTACTGATAGTACTATACTGCCTCTTCAAGCTGTCTCCTGCATGCTTTGTGACAGGTCATTATTCTTTGAACATTTCTTGCTTTTTGGCACAAAATGTTCCATGCTCATCTTGTATTTTCCTTACCCCAGTCATAGAATCAGCCATTTCTCCAAAAATCCCTAGTTTCTTTTAGTGGAGAATGGTATTTAGAAACCATTGTTTCTTGTTAATGTCATTGTTTAAGAAAGAAGGAAAACAATGGGTTTATATTCTGATTTTCTTGTCCTACATTCTTCCTGGATTTCTTTCATAAAGTATTTCCAGAAAAAAAACCCTTTTCTCTGACCAGTATTGATGTATTGGCACTTACTGCTTATAACGTGAGTCCTGTAGATGTCCTATAGCTCTAGTGCAGGCAGCATTTCATTTTTGAAGTGTGCAGACAATCTTCATATTCTTAGGATAAGAATTTACATTTCTGCACTTTAAAACCAGACTAGTATAGTATTAGTTGTATACTTCTAATTACCTGCATGTGATCTTTGCAGACAGAAATTTGCATGTCTAACTTGTGTAACTTTTTGGTTGTAGACTGTTTACTTGTGGATTCATATGAAGTGAATGCCAATTTCTTAAAAATTCTAGGCTGTGGTAATCAGTTGCATGTGTTAGCAAGTTAACCAGTTTTAGTTAGCAGTTATGATTTTCATTCCTAATTGGGCATTTATTTATTGTATATGTCTTAGGAGATGTTTTAAATCTAAAGGGAGCTGCTTGAAGCTATTAAAGATGCAAGTTTTAAATTTTTTCTTTATTTAAAATGAGTTTTCTAAAGCATAAGACCTAAGCATCTACTCTGTTCAATTTTAAAGCCTAAACTCCACACTTAAATATTAACAGTTCCTATGGTAATAAGCAAGAAAACATGTACCTACTGTGAATTTTCTTAACATAATAAAATATGTACATTGTTTGTTAAGCTTTGCCAATTCTTTGGAACTCTCCTTAATATATGGGAAAACTTGACTAAGGATGGAGATAATGTTAGAGTAAGACCTCACCTCCTGGGTTCGGGAGAGAAAGCACTAGAACCAGATTTGTGGGTACCTTTGGGCTTTTTTCCTCCATTTAGGCTTTCTTCTCCTTTGTACCTGGAGCTGATGTCACAGTTTTTTTCAGCAACTAAATCCCTGGACAAATCACTGGTTCCAGGGGAAAGGGATGTATGGAAAGCCTGCATTCCCAAAGGAAAAACTAGGAATAGACAGATTTCCATAAATGTATTTTTTGAGAGTTACGGCATCAGTATATGTACAAGTCAAGTCTTGCAAAATTCACTCATTAAGCAAACATTTATTGAGGGCCTGTTAGGAGCCAGGCACAAAAGCCATCTGCTCACAAGGACTAAACATGTTAACCAAGGCTTATAAATTAGTGAATGAGATAAGATGGTAATAATAAGGTTCTTATGACATTATAGGGAAATTTCAGAGGCAAGCAATGACTATAGCAAATCAAGGATATTTTATAAAACAGGGTGGTATTTGAGTTCTACTTTGGAATAATGGGTAGAATTAAAATGAGGGGGGTTTGACTATGTTATCTCCAAGGTCCCTTTCTACTTAAAAAGTATCTGCATATAGAAAAGGAATAGGATTTTTGTGGCTACCTGGGGAACCCAGAAGGTATATTTGATAGACTTTTGTTAGATCCCTGTTGATTTAGGGTCATGGGCTTAATAACATGTTCTAATTCTCAGCAAGTGACAGTGATTAAAAGTGCCACCTATTAATAGAAAATGTGGGTCTTTATTCTGCTAGTTTAATCACTCAACTTCATGACTTCATGTAGCTAAAATTCAGTGCCAGATGCTGTCTGAAGAGCTTTACGTGTATGATTTTAATTCTCACAAGAACCCCATTAAATAGTTGAAAGAAAACTAAGGTACAAAAAGATTAAATAACTTGCAAAAGTACACTGAGCTAGTAGGTGATGAAGTCTGAATTCAAACTCAAAGCAGTTGACTCGAGCCTATGTTCTTTACCCACTACACTATCCTGAAATTTTAGCATCTGAACTTTGAGCTTGGAAACGTTTTTGAAGATATTTTGCTCTTATTTCTAATGATTTTCACCTTTCATTAGTTCCCTGTGCTCTGAAGGTAGTTCTGTTAAGCTAAGGAGCACGTATGAACCTGTAGAAGTCATTTAACTAATATCGTCTGTTAATTAAAACTACAGGCACCCCACAAACTGTGTCTGCCCCAAATAAAGTTGCACCTCCAGTGTCAGTGACGAGCCAAAGATTTACCGTGCAGATTCCACCTTCTCAGTCCACACCTGTCAAACCAGGTAATGTGATGGGTAGGGGGAGGGGTGCTATAAGTGATTCTTTAAAAATATTTTTCCTGAATTTTAAAATTTGTGAGTAACTTGTGATTATAATTTATGTTCCTATAACAGGAAGGTGGCAGTAATGCTGCAAATAAGGGTTCTTCAGAGCAGGGTCTATGAGCTCACTAAAATTGTATTAAATTTTACATTTATGTATACATTTTGGCAGGGGGAGGGGAGAGTACTCAGCATGATCATCAGATTCTCAAAAAACACTGTGAACTGAAATAAGAGTCCACAAATATAAGGCAGGGAATAGCACTTAGGGTCAAAGCTCAAGAAAATAATACAACTTTATATACATCAAATGCAAATTGTACCTTTACTCACTTCAATGGAAGGATACATATTCAGTCAGAATAATCTAAGTAGAATTCTGTTTTGACATAGTTCATTAATGCTTGTGTTTAGATTTCACATCTTCTGAAACCTAACTGCACACAGTATACTTATTTAAAATTTTGGCCTGTAAGAGAAGCATGATTCCTGACCTTGAACATTTGCCTTTAGTGTGTTCCATGATGCATCCAGCGCACTGCTTCCTATGACTATTTACAAATTGAAATTTGTAGTTGTTAAAAAAAAAAAACAGAACTTCTTTAACCATGTACTAGATACTAACTTAACTACTTTAAAGCACCAAAATTTATCAGTGTAATTCCCTGAGTTTTTCTGTTTTGTTATTAGAATTACATTCAGCTTTGTTGAATACTTTTTACCATGTTTCTGCTTCTGGGTAATTCATAGTTTGGGGGTTTTGTCTTCTGTTTACAGTTCCTGCAACAACTGCAGTTCAAAATGTTCTGATTAATCCTTCAATGATTGGGCCTAAAAATATTCTTATTACCACCAACATGGTTTCATCACAGAATACGGCCAATGAATCAAACCCACTGAAGAGAAAACATGAAGACAATGACAACAATGATACTATGTAAGGAATATATAGTCTAGTCTAGATGGATTTCAAACATGTAGTTGGTTTTGAGCCCAGTATACTAAACTAGAAAAAACATTCTAAATCTCACATTTTCTTATAAAGCTTAAATGTACCTGCAATTTTTTCACATTAAACTATTAGATTCTTTAAGGGTACCAATGTTTTTCATTAAGCTCCCAGTATAAAAAAGTACTTTTTTCCTTATAATTTCATTAATGTTGAATCGTACCAGGGCAATTCTATTTTGGAAGCAGTGTTGTGCCATTTATCACTGACAGCAACACTTAAGTTTCAGTTTCTACAGCCTGACCAGTGGACTGATCTTTAACAGTGTAGTATCTAATGTGCATATGAATGTTTTTCTTTTGTAAGGTAAAATAGTCACTTTTTTTGTCACCAACTTTTTTGACCAGATCTCTCTCAATCTAGGGAACATTTTTTAGAGAGGATGGGTTTAGAGGGATTCGAAGTCCATTTTGAATGTATTTGTTTCTCAGTGTTCCCTAACCTCCTCAATGTCATTTCTAGATCCCATTCATTTTCTGCACCACCCCTTCCCCATAGGCTTAAGTGTCTACCCATTGCTCCTAAATTTAAAAGGCCAAAGCTGGAGTTTTAATAATATAATTCCTGATAATACAGCTCAGTGTCATTTTCCTATTTTTAAACCTGCTTTACATGCCTAATATTCTATGGTTCACTTCAACCTGACAGTTTGTATTTGCTTTGTATTTCTCCCCCTACCACAGCAATTGAATTTTATCCCTTGTTTTTTATTCCATTGAGTTTTACTCTGCTTTTGACAGGTGGTTTTGAGCCATTTACATTCAGTTTGTCTTATGAGTTGATAACTCTACCATATTTCACATTTCCAGATTTTAAATAGAAGATGGTATAGCTTAAAATCTGCCTTGATACATATTTTACACTGGTCCTAGGCAAAACCACTGAAGAAACAAGTGTTTTCTTCCTTTTTACTACTTGCATGTATGTATGATCACTAGCACTTGAACACTCCTACTGGTATAATTCAGATCATTCTTCTAGCTTGTTGCTGAGGATGTCCCAAATTAAGATGGGATCAAACCTGGTTTTCTAATGGTTTTCCTTCCTCTAGAAGGCCAACGGCAAAAAATAAATTCGTGTAATATGACTTGCATTTATGTGCACTTCTGCATAGGTTTCCTAGTAAAGTTGTGATGTTGCTACTTTCCCTATTTTCCATGTATACAAATTTAAACATCTTACTGGGAAAGACTGCAAAGCTTTCAAAATTATAAACAGGTTTGTGTTGTTTTTAAGTAAGTTTGACATATTCAACAAAGGAATACTTCTGCAGAATTTTCTAAAATAACTTTTCATATAATTTGGAACTTGTAGCCAAGGATCCTCAAAACTCAAAACACTGTAAGTTTCATCTTAGGATGGTGCTTGGTACATCAAAGAGGAATAGTCTAGTAGCAGGAGAGAAATGTCTCATCAGTTTGTTTTGGATGTCAGGAAAAGATAGCATTAAACTTGTAACAGATATGACCAGCATCATAGGAGAGAAATGTTCATTGTATAGCATAAGATACCATTACTTGAATGTTCTCAGGGAGGCAGTATTACAAAATGCCTAGGTTCTAGTCCTGGCTCCATCATTTACCAACTGTGTGACCTTACTTCACCTCTGAGCCTTGTTCTCCTCACTAGTAATAGGCATCCTAACACTGACCCTGCCTATCTCACAGGGATGTTGTGAGGGCTTAATTAGTATATGTGAAAGTTTTCCAAATTGTAAACTGCTATGTAACTCTAAGGAATTGCTAATGTATTTGTTCCAAGATCAGGAATAAAAAATTGAAATTAATCATTTGTCTTTCATTTTTGACTTAAGGGATTCAAGGAAGATGAACAAGGCCCAGTAATTCTGTGGTCCAGAAAGCAATTAAGATTTAATGGATGAATTAAAACTCAGGGAACTGCTTGCTTTTATTTGCAATCAGCATGTGACTCAGTGAAGCAAAACAAAGATCAAAGAGTATGGGTTTAAATTTGTTAAAAACATAGCATGCTGTCTCTGGTGGGAATCTGTGCATATAATTGAGGTTGCAATGAGTATTTATTCACTTACCAGGTCAGCCAGTGGGTGGTGTGCTCTTTCAGATGAAGTCTGCTTTATCTTACACATCTTTCTTCCCTAATTATGCCCACCTAACCACCTAACCTAGCTTCAAGAATGACTTAAGGCAGCTCTTGTCCTGCAGCTTCTAGGTGGAATTTTTAAAAAAGATACACTGATCATAAATGGAGTGAGGACAATGTCATCCCAGGTTCTTCCTTTTTATAAATTGGAAACAAGTGTCTTTGATCTGAGTATCAATATAGGAAATATACCCAGCACACAAGAATGGAAGATGTAATACACACTGTGGCCTAAGGAGTCCAGAGTGAAGGGAAGTACTCAAGGTAGGAAAGAAAACTAATCAGAGATACGAAGCATTGTGTATGCCACCATATGTATTTTAGTACAGGTATACACACACATGTAATATGCTTTTTGTATGCATTAAGTAGCTCTAGACTGAAGGAAACTGGTCTTAACAGTAGTTGCTTCTAAAGAGAGAAACTTAGAAGACTGAGGAAGGAAGGAGTCTCTTCTCATTGTGTACCCCTCTTCATATCATGGGCTAGAAGGAAGTTTTGGACATAAAGAGGAAAGAGGAAGCAGGAAACACTGAGCTCAGGAGATTCAATTTGGCATGAAGATTGCAATTTTTCTGTATATAGGCATAAATATATTGGGAGTTAAAAGTGTATCTGCTTGTAACACTTATGCCTAAACTTTTGCAAGGTTTCATCACTAATTCATAATTCTATAATAAATCAGGAAGCACATCTTTATATTATTCTAGTTTATATACTCACTAGGTGTAATATACTATTTTCCTTGATTAGGTTGTAAATTCCTCCAGGACATAAATGCTATCTTTTTTTTTAAGGTAATTATTTTTTATTGAAGGGTAGTTGACACACAGTATTACATTAGTTTCAGGTGTACAACAGAGTGATTGAACATTTATATACATGATAATTCTAGGTACCAGCTATCACCATACCAAGTTGTTACAATATTTTGACTATATTCCTTATGCTATACATTACATCCCGGTTACTTATTTATTTTACAATTGGAAGTGTGTACTTTTTTTCTTTTTTGTGAGGGCATCTCTCCTATTTATTGATCAAATGGTTGTTAACAACAATAAAATTCTGTATAGGGGACTCAATGCTCAATGT